ATTATATACGATTGATTATTGTAATGATGTTTAAGATGTTATAGATATGTCACCGAATCGAGAGAAAATAGGGGTTAAACCTAGCAACCAACCACACAAGTAACAAACAAGCAAACAAACAGGCGAATGAATATTATTACCTATCTACATACCTTTACCTATATCKATTAAAAGATATATATATCTATATATATAACGTATATACAAAATATTAAAACTAAACGAAATGATAAATATCTACAAATTTACGGATACAAATACAAATACATAATAATACATAAACCATCTAAGTATAAAAACAAATCTAAAAACAATTGCACTTTATTTCTTAATAATGAAGAAAATCCCATTTAAGTGTTTGGACAAATTGTGTATTAAAAAGAAAAAAGAAAATGTCAACATTTTGTTGTTTTATTTTCTAAGAACGTAAATGTTTAATATAAAATATAAGTTCTTCACCAATTTCGCGCTTTAATGTTTTTCAGCTTATCACCCAAGCTATAATTTACAGCGTGAAGATAATGCCTTGATAAGCTAGCGATAAACGATCCGTAGATTAGGTTAATGCTTCAATCAGTGTTTTGAATTTATTTAGATATTCACATTGCTCGATATTGACTTAGTAGAACATTTAAGCGACGTTTTGCGACGGCTTTGAATTTTTTACAATATTTCATACTTTGCATCTAGAGTCAGGCATTTCGATGCGCCAGAACTATTGTAGAACTCGTCTCCAGACATTTTAGTAAAACTGATATGTACAATCAGATGTTGAGCATATTTGTCTTTAATTAATCGACATTATTTTTCCTTCGATTTATATTTCGTTTCTACATTATTTGGCTCCAATTTCAATTTGATTGTTTCGTCGTTCTTTAATTTATTGTCGATTTCAGTCGTCGCCTGACTCGTTTTCATTCACAAAACCATCCAATTCCGAGAATTTGGCATGTGTATATGTATATTTAAATTGAATATTAATGTCAAAGGCAAAGATTTGAATATGATGCGCATCCAATTTAACAGGAAAATCAACAAAAAAAAGGTGCTGGAAAACGATTACAAAAAATTCATCGAAAATAATTTCAATTACTAATTTAAAAGGATCTATTAGTTATTAACTTTTTCAGTGAACCAAACGGCATTGATTTAAAGAACGTTAATTGTTAAAAAAATGAAAGAAATAATTCTGTGGCTTTTATTATAAAACGTTATTCATATGGCATTGGTTTCTTTTTTAAGCCACTCCAAGGTGAAAGGATCATCGGATAAAAGTGGGGAGAGCGTGTCCCAAACCAATTTATGGTAATCGTTGAGCAGTTTGACTTCAATCTCGGTCAACAGTTCCTTGATAACCATTTTCGTCTGCTTTGGGCACATTGTGATGGTTTTGAACGTAAGAGCGCCACGATTGGAAAAATTATGGTTTAATTGTGCGGGCACAATTTGGACAATGTCCTCGATGCGTATGCCGAATTCCCCATCCTTATAGAATCCGGGCTCGTTAGAAATGAACATATTTTGCTGTAGTCCAGGATCGTCGGGCATTGGCCGGAATCCAACGCCCATCGGACCTTCGTGAACGTTCAAGAAATGCCCAATGCCGTGCCCAGTGCCATGTCCGTAGTCCAAGCCGATGTCCCAGAGAGATTTTCTAGCCAGCACATCCAGAACTTGGCCCTTTGTCTTTGTAGGAAACACTGTGGATCCGAATGTAAGCTGGCCCTTCAGTACACGTGTATAGGTCTCCTTTTGGAATTCGGTGGGAGTGCCAAAGTGAAAAGTTCTGGTCACATCAGTCGTGCCATCCAGATATTGAGCGCCCGAATCGCATAGATAGACTTCCTGGTCGTTGATGGGTCGATTTGTCTCCTGTGCTGGATGATAGTGAATGACCGAACCGTTAGGACCCGACGAGCTTATCGTTGTGAAGCTCAGACCCATGTAATTGTCCTTAGTCTGGCGAAACTCTTCCAATTTATCCGCACCAGAAATTTCATCGACTGCCTCGCCCCGTTCCACAGCTGCTTCCAGCCAAGCGAAATACTGGCACAATGCAACGCCATCTCGAATATGACTATTCACAAAGCCCTCGACCTCTCGATCATTTTTAATCGCTTTGAATAAGGCAATTGGTGTGATATCTTGATGTCGCGCTGATTTCGGTACTAGACAATTCAGATACAGACTGCTCGTGGGCGATATCCATACTTTATCGTTCACGTCACATGTCATTTGACGTACTCCATCACCGATCGACTCGTAGGGACAGATTGATATTTTGACCCCATTTTGCTGAAGATGATGTTCAAAGTTAGCTGGAAGTTTTGACGAATCAATATACAAAACAATATCATCGTGTGTTACGATCATAAATGCAAAGAATACTGGATTATAGGCAATATCCGAGCCGCGCATATTTAAGAACCAGGCAATCTCATCCAGAGCGCTAACGATTAAGGCATTCGAATTCTGTTGCTTCATTTGCTCGCGAGTCCGTTCCCATTTCTCGGCGATGGTTTCGCCGGCAAAATTCAAATCTAATGTTATCAAAGTGTTAGAGGGACGCGGCGGCTGATCATCACCCCAAACCTGATCGATTAGGTTTTCTTCGATGCCCACCAAAGTGCAATCGGATGCATTCAAATCCTTCTCAATCGTTTTCGCAGCGCGAAATGAGAATAAGCGCGGATCAACGCCAACGGCGCTGCCTTTGGGCAAATTCTTTCCCAGCCATGTACCAATCGATGGCGTTGCTGCCAGTCCATCCTTGACCAGCGTCCAGTTAGCATCCAGCTCATTCTCCGCCTGTTGATAATACCGACCGTCCGTCCACAATAACGCATTGTCGTTCGTTATAACCGCTGTGCCGGCGGACCCAGTGAATCCGCTTATAAATGCTCGTCTCTCATCGTGCGCACATTGATATTCGCTCTGGTGTGCATCATCCGATGGTACCACATAGGCACTGATTCCAGTTCCTTCCGGAGTGGTAGCACTTTGCATCAGCTCCCGCAGCTTTGCCAATTTTTCGGTTGTTGCTTTCATTTTCGTACCTCCACTTGCACTGAGTACGCTCGCTACACGTACAGTCAAATATGTAGTCGTCAGATGAGCTATCGCTGTTGTAAATTGCCTAATCATAAGTTGTATTATCAAAGCTCTTTCTAACTTCGCAGTTGCGGTTACTTAGTAATTTCTGCTTTTTCTTTTTCTTTTTCTCTCTCTCTCTCTCTTTCCAGCTGGCTTTTCTTCTTATTTAGTGTTGAAAAACATCAACACAAAATACAAATCCTATCGATAAATACTGCAGGCTGTTATTTATGAATAGACTTGCTCGTTATAACCACTGTCTTTGGTCAGTGTTATAACTGATTATATTTTTTAGATACTTGTATTACTCTTTTTTATATTATTTTTACTATTTATAAATTANTAAATTCAATTCAATTATATTTTATTTATTTCAATTAAATTTATTCATATTTTTCCTGAACTGAAATCCCTGTATTGAAAATTCCTTTATTTTTATAGAATTTTTCCGTTGTTTCGTTTGCTTTGCGATTCGCATTTGATGTACACTTTCTGCTTAATTGTGGTAATGTGATTAAATTGTTTGGTAACTACTTTAATGAATTTATAATTGTTTCGATTGCACGACAAATAAATCCAATTGATTATATTCACGGATCCACTTGCATTTGCACATTATTTTCATTCTCGCTCCATTTTCTATTTATTTATTTTTTATCTATCTTTTTTTTCTATCTTTTTTTGTATTTTTAACAATAACACTTTTATCTGAATGCGCTGTGTAGCACGCCGCACAACAATATTTGCGGCTTTTGCCACCCTCACGTTTATTGATTTACAAAAGTAGCGGCAACAAAATTGGCAACACAAACAACAACAACAGCAACAAGGGCACTACCACACCGCCTGCACACCCTGTGTGTGCATGTGTGTTTGTGTGGGGAAACAGACAGGGCTGGGCAATAATCCAATGCAGACAGAAACTTTAAATGCCGATTTTGTGGCTTGACTTTTCTTAGCACTCAAGCAAATATAAAGCACACACATACACATATATCAACTAGCACACAGACACACTACACACACGCGCAGGCGAGCAACTCTACTAATTGAATGCAATTAATTAGGCTTAAAAAACGAGTTTCTCGCTTCTTTTTATTTTGTGGTATTTAAAATTTACAGTTTTTGAGCAAGAATTTTCACGCGTCGCGACGCCACGAGACAACAGTGGACAGAGGCGGGCTGAGACAGCTCCAGTGCAAAAGAAAAGAAAGCAGCAATGGCTACGAGTCGAGATTCACAACCGTTTGTACGCAGTCAAAGCCCACGAATGTCCTGGGCCGACTGCCCTCAGAGTCCCAACTGGCCGTGAACAAAGAGCGCAGCGTTTTCAACACGGAACTGTTTTTACTACGCTTTCGACACGCTCACGCTCACGATGGCGCTCTCTGGCGGGCGGTACCAGCAACCCCCAAAAAGCGAGTAAACAAAGATGGAAAAGCACGTTAGCTGGGGCACAGCAGCAACCCCAACATAAATACAACTCCGGCACGGCCCCCCACACTTGCACACACGTCAACGGAAAGACAAACAACCACCCACCTGGCCACTCTCACCCACTCACTCTCTATCGCTTTGACTATCTCTCGAGCTCTGTATTCTATTCGATTCTCTTTAGCTTCGCCACTCTGTTTGTCAGTTCTCTGTTGTTTCTCGCTCTTTCGGCCGGCATTCCGGCAGTTTGTTTTGCTTGTGAATGTCATGCGCAGTGGGTGCTCCATAGCCGGGAGCAGCCGGAATTCAAGCTGGGCCCGCCAGCCTTCCTGCCACATGTTGTGCGTGTCTGCCGCGAACTTTGATAACTGATAAGAAACTTTAACATCAGCTTTGCACAGGGTTGCACACCCAACAAGCGTGCCGAGGCCATTGACGGAATTCTCTGTGTGTCTAAATGTATTTATATATACATGTATATGTATATACATAAATATGTGCGTGGCTGTTGTTTGTCGTGGCATCGTAGATATTTGCTTTTAGGCTCACGCCCTGTGTCCCCCCTTTCAACCAGTTTCGAGGGTGGTAATAACGTCAGAATTTCTGAAAGTTGAGTCGAGTGCAGCGGTTTTAATGACTGGAAAAGGAATACCAAGCATTCCCTCTGCCTTCTCCTACACCCCCAGCCCATCACGCTCTTTCTCTTTTTCTGTAAGGAATATGAAGCGCGTTTTCTGCATAAGAAAATAGAAATTAAAATACACCTCAATGGATAAGCGGCGATTGCCTGAGCCTTAAATAAAGCAGCCGATTTGTTTGACTGAAATTGTGCAGCCTTAAATTGAGCAGAAAATTTAAGAGCTGTGGGATACTATAATATATTCGAGAGAATTCTAATACAAATCCATACATTTGAAACCGAAAATGAATCGCAAGAGTAGTTGAGCTGAACACTGCAAGAGTTTTCTTTTATCTCAAATTGTTTTCAATCAAAAAGTCAACAATGACAATCTAAGTCTTCTTCAACTAAAATAAAAAATAAATAAAAAATAACAGCCAAAACTATTTCATATTTTAAACTGGTTAGCGTGAAGTGTGTGAATAATTTCGACTGAGTATAAATTAAAATTCATTTGAGCTAAGCTCATGAAATTGTACGAGCACTTGAGCATAGCACTAAATCCACTTGCACACATGGCAGTCACGTACTGCGCTAACAACAGGACAGTTTGCGTAATCAGTGAGGAGATCCCGGACAAAAACCCAGCGGATTAACAAGGCTCCAGTTGAAAGCAGCCAAGGACTTCAGGCTGGCCCTGTTGGCCATGTTGGCCAAGTTAGAAGCAAGCACACGCTGTAACGTGTACCTGTAATATGCACAAACATTTTTCCCATAACTCTCATGCGGAAAAATGTTGTGCAAAAACTATCTGGCGCATAACTTGGCGACTGAAAGCCAAGCCTTGGCCTGTCTACAGCCTGCTAGCACAATTATTTAATTTAATGTTGCTTTCAAAATTGCGGCAGAAGCGTTAAGTGCTCAAGTTGCACAAAGCCAGAGCCAGAGCCAGAGCTAGAGCCAAAGAAGAAGCCCAAGCCATAGCCCCCAATTGCCCCTGGCCAAAGGTCTGAGGTTAAGCAGTCATGAAGACGTCGCTTTTAAGTAATTAAAAACAAAAAAAACTTTTTAGCTCTAACAACGAATCCCAAATACTCTTAAAAATTGTAACAATATTCAATATTAAATAATATATACATACATATATGTGATTATAAATGGAAATGATTGTCATGGCAGATTCATAGAAAAAATCTGCTGAGCTTCCACCAATATTTCATAGAAGTTATTTGACGCATAATTAAACATTACAAAAAAATTAATTAAAATGCTTAATATGAAATATAAACCTATTAGAAACGCATTAACATGTTTGGATTCTTTTTGCCGAGATTTTTTCATTATTTTATTTTATTGTTTTTTAGAACTCATTAATATTTTCGGATAACTTGCCGACATTTTTTTTATTCTTTATATTTTTAATGTTTTTATTTTATTTTCATTTTTCAACCTCATTAATATGATTGGATTATTTTTTCCAATATATATAATAATATATTGAATCCCTTTGTAAAAAAAACTCCTAATCGACTCCTAATAGACACATTGGGCTATTTTATTTAAGTACATTTTATTTTATATTTTTTTAGCTGAGTCTGGTTTTTATAGAGTTAAGCTACTTTAATACAATCACTGGTCAGTGATACAATTTAGGGAAACCGGGAAATTAATAGGTTTTCAAACTGTGCTGTATTAAAATGTTTCGAAAAATACCAGATTGACAAAGAAATGATCAGCGATAGTGACGAAACGAATAGTGAGCTAAGGAAGTCAATGCAAATCCAAGGGATACAAGGGAGCTTAGTAAAAGCGGAATTTTATATTAACACTAGAAATGAGGCGAAGACAAGTATGTGAAAATATTTCTTTGCTCTTGGCTCTAAAGCAATAGAAATCACAAACAAATTTTACTTTTTTATTATTTAAAGTTTATTAGGTAAATGCTTTTATGCCCTTTTGTTCATATAAAAAATTGAGCATAAAATATATTGTAGTATTTTAATAACCATTTCGGCATCCTCTTACGTATTCTGAATTTGATTTTTTAAATATATTGTTAAGAGTTTCAAATTTAAACTGATATGTAAATAAACTGGATTTTCCAGGACCTTGATAAAAGTCATACCCAGTCATTTTTGAGTAATCTATAGATTCTAGTAAAGATTTGATGAATTCTGCTTTTGGCTTTGGGTCGATCTTGTTTTTTAACATTTTATTCTCGTTTTCCACATTCGCTTCATTAAAATCTGATTTGTTTTCCTTTTGAGAAGCATCCTCATTTGAGTCATTATCCATAGGATTTGATTGTTTTAATACAATTTTGTGACAATCCTCTGTCGCATTTTTATCATTAAGATTTGTTTTATTGTTGGCATCATGTGGCTCTTCTTTTAAGTTAATATAATCTAGAAAACCATTGATTTCCAGGTATTTTTCAATTGCTCGAAACTTTGACAATACCCGTTCATTCTTAGCTACGGTGGCCATATATTCCTTGAAAATATCAGAGCCTAGTAGAAAAACTCGGTTATTTATCTTCTGATTTGAGCGATTTAAACAGGTAGTAACTGTTTGAAAAAGAGTCTTGTCGTCGAGGTTGAAAGCGAATTCAAAAATCTCAACAAGTTCTTCGTCTTTCATGGCACGGGTACGATCGATCAACAACTTCAAACAATCGTTGCTTATTGAAGGTACAAGAAATTTGTTACCGAATAGGTATAGATCCATTAACGTTGCATTGTCATGTTCATTCAGTTTGACGGTGTTGTAGGAGTAAATATATTGACGAAATATTTCAAAAGTCTCTGGCGTTACATCGTCTAAGAATATGTCACCAGAAATTGATTCCTTGCACTCAATCAACATCATGCGCTTAAAGACATCTGAGGCACATGCCAGAATTAGCTTGTGACACTTGAATATTTTGGATCCTACTAAAATGCGACAGTCAGAAAACTCTGTATCCATACCACTAAGAGCAGGTGCGAACCTTTAGTCAAAAAAAAAATGTATTATTTAATCTTCGAAAAAAAAAAAAAAAACAGTATTTAAATACTTACCATCTATCCATGTTTACAGCTGAAATATTATAGTAAAAATAAAACATATTAGCGAATGAATTACTCAAAGTGACCTTGTTACATGGGGAATACCCAATTTTAAAAGACACACTATTAATTAATCGTGGGGAATACCCATAAAGTATGCATGCTTGCAAACACACATACGTACGTACATACATACATACATATGTACATCGACACATTAATTCATTTATTCGTATACCACTGATAAATGACTTAGTACATCCACTATCCATCCGAACATATAGGCATACATATTTCGTATCCGTAAATATAAACACAATTAACTTACCTGAGAATTCAATTGCGCCACCGATTTTAAAACTTCAAATTACGTATATACACTAAAGGCGTGATAAATTCTGGTGCAGCCAAAATTTTTGAGCGAGCTTCTGGAAGCGATATCGATAGATTATTGTTTGTGAATGATCCACGTTCAAAGACTTCCTGTTGCTCAGCTGACAGCTGTAAACCGATTTGTTGATGTATGTATACACAATAATGTAAACAGCAAATATGAATGCACTAATAAAAAGCAGTCAATATTTGAAGTTTTATTACAATAATAATAATGAATACCTTTGATAATGGTGGAAGTTTCAAATTTATTTTTATCGATACATAATCGATAGCCTTTTATTCTCGCCATCTGGCCATTTGGTTTCTTGCTGTGCGATTGACAAGTTCTGTTCGGGACGTTCGTAATTAAATTATCTACATTTCATTTTATAATCTATAAAATATCCTAAAATGGTGGCTAAAGCTGTATGCGTTATTAATGGTGATGCCAAGGGCACCGTTTTCTTTGAACAGGAGGTAAACATTTTTGTTTTTTTCTTTAAAGAAACCCAATAGACGACTGAAAATTACGAAGGTCAATTAACCGGCCGCACCGCGCCTCTCCTAACTAACACAACAATGTGTTTAATATACATACACTCGCACTCGCATACATACATACATATATGTGCATAGAAATTCGCTGTGAAGCTACTTAAATTTCAATTGCATGAAATTTGTGCAGTGTCATTTAACAAATGCGTTATTATATAAGCACAACACTGCGCACATGTGTATGTAAGGGATGCACAAGTATGTGGGATGAGTTTAATTCTCCTATCTTAGCTATGTTGCTATAATACATCCCCTCACTTCATTTTTCAATTATATTGCATGCTAATACTAGGTATACATTTTACATTATGTTATCACCTAACTTACATACATATGTATGTATTGTTGCATTTGGTATGATAGCACTGGTGGCTTACATATTCAATGATACGCGCTGTTAAGCCCTGAAATGCTTTATCGCCGTGATTAAGCACATTTTAGTGGTGTTTATCAGCTGGCATGGAATCACTATCATTGTTTCTACTTTGTATAACACTTCTCATCTGTTTTAACAGGCGGACGGCTGCCCGGTGAAAGTTACAGGAGAAGTTACTGGCTTGGCGAAGGGTCAGCATGGCTTCCATGTGCACGAGTTTGGCGACAACACGAACGGGTGCATGTCCTCAGGACCGCATTTCAATCCATTCCAGAAGGAACATGGCGCTCCGACTGATGAGAATCGTCATTTAGGTGATCTGGGCAATATTGTAGCCACCGGCGACGGACCCACTCCAGTCGACATATGCGATTGCAAAATCACGTTGTTTGGAGCCAATAGCATTATCGGACGCACTGTTGTGGTACATGCTGATGCTGACGACTTAGGCAAAGGTGGTCATGAGCTGAGCAAGACAACTGGCAACGCTGGCGCTCGCATTGGTTGCGGCGTAATTGGAATTGCCAAAATCTAAGAAAATATAAAGCATCTGAATTCAATACTTATATAAATATACATATATGCTTATATGAAATTTAGTCTTACGAATGGAACATAATATTGGTTTAAACGGGCGTTAAATGAGATTTTCTTTAATCTGGTAGTTACTAAATATCACATTTGAAGATAATAAATGGTGTTTGTTATCAGATCAAATTTCATTGTTTTTCTTTGTCATCTGTAACCGTTTGTAAGAGTCGAATCGAATCACCATTAACAGGCGTTTGAGAACTGCAACAAGTTTACGCACTAGTATGAACATTTTATTGGTTTAAAATTTGTCGTAAACAATATATAAATTAGTAATATTTACAATACATGACATATTTCAATTAGTTTGACCTATGGCATGACTATAAAACAATATCAACGAGTTTAGAACAAGAGATGATTTCTAGATTACCAAATAGTTTGTTTTGGTGGTACAGAAAATTTTGTTAAGTGCGTCCATTTAGGTCTTGTTGAAATATGATTGATAGACAATACCCAAGGATGAAGTTGCAAAGAGCGTGAAGTAGCTCCACCAGGTGGCAAATCCCAAAAAGCCTTTATACACTTCTGTGGTGAACACCTAAAACAGTTCAAATATCTTGAATAAAAATGAACTAAAATATGGGGTGAATGCTTTTACATTTTTCAAACTAGCGAACGAAGCCTGTATTGACTGAGCAGATTCCATAATATTAAATTCGGTTTCAACATTGCTCTCAGCAGGAATCGGTGCCAGTTCCGCATCAGCGGCACATTCGTGCTGCAGGACAACCGATTCCTTGAAGATTCCCGTCCAGCTAAAGCCGCCAAGACTCTTGTACATTAGCGTCAGATAGAGGCACAGAATTAAAGGCGCAGCAAACTGCAGCGTCACAACACACAGATAGTAGAATATTGACGAGATCTATGTAAAGAGCAGCAAATTGTTAGTGAAATCTGAATTGATTAGTAAGTGATCAGTGTAAGCTTGCCTTCTTTTGAAACTCGACATTGGTGATGCGTCCAGCCTCCTTACGAAGATCGACAATTTTGTCATAAGCCAAGTTGAGATAAGATTGCAAATAGATGGGCATCAGTGCAAAGCGCATAACAACCACAAAGATGACCAGCAGGAGGCGTAATGTTTCGAAAACATGAGGCTTAAGTCTAGAAAACACAAAATCTATAATACAATATTTGGCAATCAATTGCCAACGGCTTTCTCACTTACAGTGGATGTTGCATGCCTTCGAAGACACGCACTGTCAGGTAGTCCCGACTGATGGGTCTTATCCACAATATGACTAGTATGAAGGGCAACACAAAGCTCACGTTGAGCGTAATTTGTAGAAGGCGATTGCCCCTACAATATTTTAAGGAATCCCAATGCATTTTGGCCATACGCAAGCCCGGAAATGTGAACAAGGAGCCCAGAAGGCCGCAGCTCAAGGCGACAAAGAACTTAACAACAATCTTCGAGGCTGGTCCACTGTAACGACAAATATATTAGTGAATATAAATAACGTAATATACATATATGAAATTGAACTCACGATGACGGTAGACCCTGCTCGGTGAGGAACTTTGATGCGCTGGCATTGAAACTTGTATATGCATCCTCTAGACCTGTTTCTAGGATACGCTCATCAATGATGAGAACGATCATGGCAATTAGTAAATAGACCAGGCAGGCGACTATCACCATGGAGCGCTCCCCAATTGATTCCTCACTTTGGAAGTACATCACAGTGAGGGAGGAAAGCAGCTTGATGGCAAAAAATATGACCAAGAGACACCAAACCATGCTAAGATTGATCTCCTGCTTCAGCGGGTAGAAGTAGTGGAAAAGCTCTGAGATGACATACACAATGCCAGCATATACGCTGAAGTCCAACAGCCATTGGTATTCGGTGAAGTAGCGCAAATGTATAACATCACGTTCCACCACTGGCAATGTCTCCAGCTCGATCTCGATGCTGCGTGGTATGTGAAACTGCTGCGAGGAGGCGCCGTTGCTCAGTCCATTCTGGTGCTTATGCTTACCCTTGCCACCACGTTCTTTCGGCACGCCGGCCTTGGTGCGCAGTTCATCGTCCGTAGGATGTAGATAACGGAATAGCCCGGTCCGGCAGAGTATCCACTTGGCAAAGGAATAGTGGGGGCTCAGCTTCTGAATAACGCTGACCATAACCAACGTTATAACCAATTGGGCACCAAGTATGGCCTAAAATTACATTTTTATTTCATTAGAATTCACAACGACCAACATTTCTGTCATCTATAACTATTTTTGGGTCAATTCTATTTTTGGTCAATTATTATGCACATTCCATTTTTCCGGGCATAACGAACCGACATTGGCAATTTTTGCTTACCATGATTCTGTGTTACGATGTGTTAAATATCGTGTGTAGGTTGGGTCATGAAGCAATGTGTGTTAATTGATGCTTTAATTAATTCATGTTTCCTAATTAAAAGAAGTAAATGAGAATCTGCATTAGTTGTAAAGAAACACTCGGAACTATTTGGATTGAACGACTCACATCAAATGAACTTATTGCCATCATAGCTAATTCGTTGAGTTAGAACTGCTTGCTTTCACAGAACAAGTATTAATAGCAATTGCTGATGCTATCGGTATTCGTCAAACACGTATCGATATACCAACATTGCTTAGGCAGCCCTGGTTTATGCACGTTTTTAAATGCCGGCACAAAACAAAAGTGGCGATTAAAAGAGAAAAGTAATGTTTATGAATGCAAATTTGTTCGAGCCGGGCAAATCAAAGTCCGAGCGCAGTTTTATACAGAGTGCAGTAAAGCAGAATACACGCTTTGATGGCCGCAAATCAAACGAATTCCGAGATGTGAAATTAACCTTCGGTTCGGATTGGGGCACAGTGGCGGTGTCCATGGGTGATACAAAGGTACTGGCACAAGTCAGCTGCGACATTGGGACACCGTCCAGTGCACGAGCCAACGAGGGGACACTGTATCTGAACGTGGACATCAAGGGTGTGGCATTTCTCGATGAAATTCAGTCGACCCACGATCAACGCTTCTTAACACTTAACTCGTTGCTGGAGCGCACATTTAGGAGCTCTCGTTGTCTAGATCTTGAGTCCCTGTGCATCGCTGTCGAGCAGCATGTATGGTGTGTGCGCGTTGACATTAATGTGTTGAACCATGATGGAAATTTATATGGTGTGTAAAAGTGTATGAGAGGATGTCAATTTTACCAAAAGGTTTTTCTTACAGATGCAAGTACGATTGCTGCGCTTGCAGCACTAATGCACTTCCGTCGACCGGAAGTCTCTTATGCTGAAGAGAAAATTCACACGTTCAGCGAAAGGGAGCGCGAATTGATGCCTCTGCTGTTTCTGCACTATCCTGTAAGCGTAACATATTGTCTGTACAAAAGTAGTTCAAATCCATTGGTCGACCCAACTCTGTTGGAAGAGAATGCCGCAGACTCGATCATTGTATTGAGCTTTAACTCGTACCAAGAGCTATGTACACTCAATGCTGGCGGTACCGCCCCGACCAACGTACGCACAATCATGCAATGTGCACGCAGCGCAGCGAATCGTTCGAAAGCCCTGGTCCAATTTATACGCAAGGCATTGGAGCTGGATGCGGAGCGTCGATTACAGCCCAATCGAGTGGTCGGTTTGGTGGATCTCTTAAGCGATACTGCGCCCCTGTTGAGTTTTAAGCATTTAATGGCGGAGAACGTGCGGCAGGAGGTTGTACAGAAGAAGATTAGTGACAAGCCCATTCCGTCAACGGAAACAGTTGGCGATGAACAGTTGCCTGCGGACACAAAAATAGATGGTAAGAGTATTAGGGAGTATTCGTGAAGACGTCATTAAAATTATGTATTTACCTATGTCAGAAGCGCCTATGGATGAAACCACCTGGCTGTCGGTGGAGCAAAACACGTGGATAGAACAACAAGTGAAAAATGTGCAGCAAAGCTTGAAAGAGTCAACGCAGGTGGCAGGCAAAACAAGCAAGTCCAAGCCCAATCGGAGTAAAAATAAGGCTAGCAAGAAGCCAGCAATAAGGAAACAAGGTATATGGAGTTTGTATTATATGATCAGTTAGAAAACATTTAGAGCAAATATATTTGTAATTTTCAGATCAAAGCGATTCGGAGGAGGAAGTTACACAAATCCTATAAGAAACGAGTCTTGCTCATCACCTAAATACAATCTATATGTTATATTTTTACAAATATATATATGTGTACATAACATGTATGTAGTTTTTAAGTGAAATATATGCTTAGGGCGAAATTTGGTATAGGTATAACTCTAAAGAATTAATTTTATATATAAGTAACTATCATAATCTCCAATAGCGAAAAAGTTAAGTTCTTGAAGGCGTCCGTTGGATGACATCGACAATGTATGCAGCATATCTGCATGAATATTTGAGTTGGGCTGGGATACCTTCAATTTTTTTACTCAAACGTAGCGCTCGTAAAATCAATATCAATTTAATTGCCATGAAGCTATACAAATTAAACAAGAATAGTTAACAAAATTGAATTATGCACTTCTAGCAGTTTTTCAAATTTTGTGATTTCACAGTTTGTGGTCACTGTGTGAATTTGAAGAGTTTATTCATATCATAAAACAATTTTTATTTACTGAATATGTATAATACGAAAAGTCTTTATACATAGTATTTAATAATAATCAGCTTACAAGTATGCAGTGTTTTTATTTGTTTATTTATTTTGACTGTAAATGCTTGGAGGTCAAGCCTTCCTTCTTCCAGTTTCCTTTCAAAATTTGCTAACATTAAATTAAATTTCTTGTGTAAAAAAGAACAAAAATATGGAAAAATCAAAGCAATGCCTTGTACCCAAGATCCTCGATATGGGCCAATGGGATTCAAATAAAATTAAACACTACAGTTCGCTGCCACGTATTCAGAAGCAGTTGCGCAGAGGAAACTGGGCGTACATACAGGAACATCCCGAGGTATAACTAGATGAGCCATTTTTGTGATTTAGTACAAATAATATAAGTTAAATGTTTTTATAAGATACGTGCCATTATACGTGTGATTTTGCAACATGTAATTAACGAAAATCCCGAAAATGTCAGAGAGTGTGTAGGTGAATTTTTCAACTGCCGTCGCACACGATTGCTGGTGCCCATGGTGAGTTGAGTTCAGATGAAACCTTTGGCCCGCCCTAAATAAAAATAAAATTCCATTTAGATAAACACTCAATTAAAGTACGTTAAGGAGCAGCTAAAACGCGGACGTTGGAGCAAATTTGATGCGGAAACATTGTTCATGGAGAGTCCATCCACACATTCGCTATTGTCCACAGCGTCCACAGATTTCAACGTTCATCCCGTGCTCACCTACGCACTGGTGTTCAAGAAACCCGATGAGTGCGGCATAGACAAGCCTCCTTACTAACTACTAATCCAACATTTACTGGACATAATGATATGCTTTTTGTTGCAGCTCTGAAATAAAATTAATTTATGAAGGCCTATCAGATAATGTATATTCTTTGTTGAATGTTATACATATTTATTTATATGACTAGTGCTAGCCTCAGAAATAAAAAATTATAGATTCCCTTTTATACTTACATTCCATATATGTATGTACATAKGTATGTTAACAAGTTTGAGTCCTTTGGAATGTGCCTGTGTATGCAGCCTATGTTAGAGTTAACATGACCAGCACTTTGATTTAACATTTCTGCATGCAAGCACTGTGCTATGCTTGAAACCTATGTTAAATAAATACATTCACAGCTTTGCTATTTGTAATCTTGGCCTTGTTGGCTTACTCTTGTATGTGTACAGTGTATGTTTTGTTTAACATTGGCATGTTGTGTGTCTGTTAAGCAACATTGACTGCACAATTGAGTCAACATTTGCTGCGATCAGTTTATTTGTGGCAGCTGTGGCGGTTGCATCTTTGAAAATCGTGTGAAATTCGCCTATTTCATATAGTTTCGAATGGTTCAATGACTATATTTGATTCTCATTCTGGCAACGTGATTATAAACAGCAGACGCAGTGGAGCTGCAAAAAGAGAAAACACTCGAATTCCTGCGAATTTTGACATTCGTTCTTTTGTTTTTAATCATATCCCTTTATCTATATCGTTTTGCATTTTAAGCCAACAACTGCTCTAGAGTTTGTTGTTCCTATTATTTATTTTTTTTTGGGTAAGTTTCTAAGCGACTTTTCGATTGTGTAATATATTACCTTGATTTAAATATCATTTTAAATTTTCTTTACGCTCTCCTTTCTCTCTCTTCCTCTCACTCTCGCTCTCTGGCTGGCCGACCTTGACGACTCGTCGTCTACTTTGTGGGTTTTGTGGTCTAATTAAAGACACAGCAAATATGCCCAAATTACCAGCAGTTGGCATTGATCTTGGTACAACATATTCGTGTGTCGGGGTCTTTCAACATGGCAAAGTGGAGATCATTGCCAACGATCAGGGCAATAGGACCACGCCCAGCTACGTCGCCTTTACGGAGTCGGAGCGTCTCATTGGTGATGCGGCCAAAAACCAGGTGGCCATGAATCCAAATAACACAATCTTTGGTGAGTCCCACTTATTGCTAATCACTTGATGACCTAAATCATGAATGAAAAACACGCGCAAGCTAAGGCTCTTTTATTTTGTTGAGGATTTTATTTTGAGACTTGTACATACGTACACATATGTTATATATGTGTATATATAATATATATGTATATTATATACATATATATCGCATGGCTAGTTCTTGGCTGCTCTTGCATACAGCCAGCTAAAAGTATTTGCCCAAAATGTATTTTTGCACTTTTCACTCGACCTCCTCCGCGTCGTGCTCTCCCTTTCATTCTTCTAATGAGTCGCATTCACTTGTTGTGTCAGTTCACTCGTTGCATGCCACCGCCCGCTGCCAAAATGTTTATTAGCATAATCTGTGTCAGCGCATTTCATGGTTCCACCTCAACTGCGAGCCAATACGAAAATGTTTACAAATAGATTATTTACATGACAATATTTACAAATTGAATTTGCTCTGGCTGCATATTAGCTCTTAACCAGGCCAACATATGTCTTAAGCACTCAAGAGAGCAATAGATTATCTCTATTGATTTACTTAGACCTTTAGCTTCTTTATTGGGTGGAAATAGACTGAGATGGAAGCCAAATGGAATATCTTAGGAATTATATTCTTCCAAATAGAATTGGTATTCAAAATTCCATTCTCTTTGCTTACAGCTATGTATATTCCTTTATTTAAATGCATTTCCTACTCTCATTTGATTTCCATAATCTCAGATTATGATATATATATAATAATTGAATTATAATGTCTGGCATCCTTATGCTTCGTAGGATCATGAATGAATGAATCACAATCTTGATTCTCATTGCTTTCTATCCAAACTTTCTCTCCCACTTTCTTTCTCTCCCTGTTGTGTTAAGCACTATTTAGTTTGAATTAAAGCTCGATGCGTTTGCAGCTCTACAAGAAGAGCTCTCTTCCATTAGATTTTGTGCGGGTCTAATGCCACATGTTTGACATGTTTTCTTTTTTTGTACTTTCATTTCAGTCTCAGAGTCCACATAAATCTGCCTTGCCCCGCAAACCCGCCTAGCCTAAGCCTAGACCTGCGCCTAGTTACGATATACAATACGCTTAGTACAATTTGTAAAAAATAAAAACAAGCCCCGTCCTCAGATATTCTGTTCGTTAGTTAATAAAGATAAAGAAACGAAAAGCCCCAAAATTGAGATGTGTGTCCACTTATTACTCTGCCTGGGACTCTCTTACAGATGCCAAGCGGCTGATTGGACGTAAATTCGACGACCCAACGGTGCAGAGCGACATGAAGCATTGGCCCTTTGAGGTCATCTCGGACAATGGCAGGCCCCGCATCCGGGTGGAGTACAAGGGAGAGAAGAAGAGCTTCTATCCGGAGGAGGTGTCCTCCATGGTGCTAACAAAGATGAGGGAGACCGCCGAGGCGTATCTGGGTGGCACGCTTACCGATGCCGTTATCACTGTGCCCGCCTACTTCAATGATTCGCAGAGGCAGGCCACCAAGGATGCGGGCGTCATAGCCGGACTCAATGTGCTGCGCATCATCAATGAGCCAACGGCGGCGGCCATTGCCTACGGCCTGGACAAACAGGGCGGCAGTGAACGGAATGTGCTGATCTTTGATCTGGGCGGCGGCACCTTCGATGTCTCCGTGCTGACCATCGAGGATGGCATCTTTGAGGTGAAGGCCACGGCAGGCGACACCCATTTGGGTGGCGAGGACATCGACAATCGCATGGTCAATCACTTCATGCAGGAGTTTCAGCGCAAGCACAAGCGAGATCTGAGCCAGAATAAGCGCGCTCTGCGACGCCTGCGTACGGCTTGTGAGCGGGCCAAGCGCACGCTCTCCTCCTCCACGCAAGCCAACATCGAGATCGACTCGCTCTTTGAGGGCATTGACTTTTACACGTCTTTGACGCGAGCTCGCTTCGAGGAGCTGAACGGAGATCTGTTCCGGAGCACCATGGAGCCGGTGGCCAAGGCGTTGCGGGATGCCAAAATGGACAAGGGTCAGATACATGACATAGTCCTGGTGGGTGGCTCCACTCGGATACCCAAGGTGCAGCGCCTGCTGCAGGACTTCTTCAATGGCAAAGAGCTGAACAAGTCCATCAATCCGGACGAGGCTGTGGCCTATGGGGCTGCCGTTCAAGCGGCCATACTGCACGGCGACACATCCGCCGCTGTGCAAGATCTGCTGCTGCTCGACGTGACTCCACTCTCGCTGGGCATCGAGACGGCGGGCGGGGTGATGACRCCGCTGATCAAGCGCAACTCCACCATACCCACCAAGCAGACGCAGACGTTCACCACCTACGCGGACAATCAGCCGGGCGTCCTGATACAGGTGTACGAGGGCGAGCGCGCCATGACCAAGGACAATAATATTCTCGGCAAGTTCGAGCTATCGTCCATACCGCCTGCACCGCGTGGCGTGCCCCAAATCGAGGTGACCTTCGACATCGATGCCAATGGCATACTCAATGTGAGTGCAGCCGAGAAGTCCACGGGCAAGGCGAATCGCATAACCATTACGAATGACAAGGGTCGGCTCTCCAAGGAGGATATCGAGCGTATGGTCAATGAGGCAGAATCGTATCGCCAGGCAGACGATGAGCAGCGCCAGCGCATTGATGCCAAAAACCAGCTGGAGTCCTACTGCTTCCACATTCGATCCACGCTGGATGATGAGCAACTGCGCAGCCGCATTAGCGATACGGACCGCCAGACGATTGTCCAGAAGTGCGATGAGACCATCAGCTGGCTGGATGCCAACCAGCTGGCCGAGAGGCAAGAGTTCGAGCACAAGCAACAGGAGCTGGAGCGCATCTGTAATCCCATTATGACCAGGCTCTATCACAGCGCGGGCATGCAGCCGCCCCCTGCTCAAGCCTCTGGCGGCGGTGGGAGTGGCGCCGGCGGACTAGGCGGCGGACCAACCATCGAAGAAGTCGACTAAGCTATCCCTTAGCATACTTTCAAGCGCCTCTCAGCTTGTTGCAATCTGTTTGTTAGCCCTAGCTAAATTATAGAGTATTTCAATAAATTTTCGATGCGCAACGAAATATATTTTTAAATAAATTAAAATTGGTGAAAATATTGGAAATAAAATAAATTAATAAGTCGTCAAGTGGAATTTCTCTTCAAATTCTTTAAAATTAAAATATTTATACCCATAGAAGACTTGACGATCAATGAAGTCAAAGAGAGGAAAATTGTCAGAGTATATAAATAATATAAACATGGAAAATGTTATATTTATTTAAATACACTTACAATTTTGAAGTATCTTGCAAAATAATTTCATTTGCTAATTGTAGAGTATTTAAATTTTTCAAATAAAATATTTATAAATAAATTTTTTTATTAGACTTTATTTTCAAACTTATTTACTATTTCACAATATTACGGAGTCTGTCTGCCATTTCACGTACTATATGAATGCTAGGGTATTTCAGGCTATCTCGATAGCAGCAATTGGCATTATGAAAGTTAGGCAAAGGAATGTTGAAATGAAACGCAAAACAATGGAAACGAAACTGAAGTCGAGCAAACAGATTCTGAAACTGGAACGATGGAATCTAAGAGATTCTAAATAAAAGAAAATAAAATCAAATATATGTATGTATAATGGGAATTTTGAATAGAACATATACATATATATACAAAAATAGGTATATGTGAGTGTACGGGAATTATGTATTCCTCAACTGTTTGTAATTGCACAATTTGGATATGTAACAACTTCCTAGAGTAGTTTGGGAGATATTTAACAATAGACAATCGCAAACATAAATACATATCGAGTATATATAGTATATATGTATGTATATTTTAGCAGAGCTGTCAACATAGGGACTACAAGTAAAATAGTTCAACGTTGGCAAAGTCAAAGGAAATGTTTTTGAACAACCTTTCAGGCAAATACTACATATCAGTTAATATATGGTATAATTATAGTATTTGGATAGTATTTGGTTTATAGTACATACGTTTCGGTTATTGTATTCAATTTGAAACTCCTCTGTGGAAAATGCATAAATTATACAGATGTATTCGCAACTGGGTCAAGGTATATCTGATGTATTCATATTTATGTGCCATAGGTTTATCATTAACACTAATATTTGTCTCTATAACTGACGACTTCACTAATTATTTCGTAGATAATACAGATACGATTTGTACAACAAACACCGCAAAAGCTTTCAAATCATATATACTATAAATATATGTATATTCCTATAGCTAAAGAGCCATTCAATTCATTCAGTTAGCACATGTACACATACATATATATGTGATATATACATTACATTTGACTATATGAAATTTATATAAACATAAAATCAACAAGGGATTAGTAGAATTTTGTATAGATTTGCTTTTACCTAGACATTTTGTGGGTCAACCAATGCTATTCATAAATCACCTATTTAATACTCTATGTATAATTAGATGAGTAGTGTCATTATTTCTTTGTTCTTTTTCTTTTTAGTTGGTATACCATATAATACCATAATGTATAAATTGTATAAACCGATTTATAAATTCATTTGCGTATATTTAATCAGTACTAACTTTAGGGTATGCACGCCTAAACTCACTATTAACAATTAACTTTACACTATTCGCTTTTATATCATATTGCTTACAATATACATAAATTTTTTTTATAACTTTTATCAAGTGTACATGTGTGTGTGTGTTTATATATAGAGGGGGAAAATATTCAAAATTATAGCTGAATTGTAATTTTAATAAAGCTTAAATTTATACACAAAAGTTTTTCAAATTATTCAATACTTTTTACAAAAGAAAAACAAATAATTGTAATTAAAATATATATGTATATTGTATATTCGTAATGTAACGGAACAAATGTTCAGAATAATAATGACAACTGAGTTTTTCATGTTTGTATTTTTGTCTATAAAATACGGCGACAAAATGCGCATATAGAACACCGTATATACGATACACTAGGTACGCATCCCAATGGAGGACTGCGCCTATTGAATGCTCTATAGGTCAGCGCTTGCCCGCAAAAGTAGACGCTTACTATGTTACACATAATCTAATTGGCTATAACTAAACACGTTTGACGTTTAATTCAGTGAACTAACATTTAAGCATTGAACTTAACTTAGATTACAATCTTAAGGGGGATTTCACTTAAGAGCTAGTACGATCGTTACAAGATCTTTTTTTTTTATTTTTTTAGAGCGCTTCAGTCGATGAGCTGCAGGGACCGTTATAGCCGTTTATGCGGCCGGAACTGGAGCCGGAAACGGAAGCGGATCCGGATCCGGACCCGGAACGGTTGCTTGCGCCATGGCTTGTTGTTGTTGCTGCGCCGGCTGCCGGCTGCACCAGCTGCTTATAGGTGCTCTCCAGCTTGGGTGGATACTGGAGAAATGTGTGTGGATTAAGGATATGAAATATATTGGAATGCCAGTCTAGCATACCTCCTGGTTCTCATCTAGCGATGGCAGCAGCTCGTCCAGCGAATTGGGCGTCAGCGGACTGGGCGTGGCCATTGTAACACGACTGAGCGCTCCATGCTGCAGCAGCGCCTCTCCAATTATAATCTGCGGCTTGTTTTGTGTGAGATGCTGCTGCTGCTGGAGGCGGGCCARGCGCAGTTTCATCTCCTGTCTGATCTCCTTCTGTTGCACCTCCTTCTCGAAACGCATCATGCTGTAGCTGCGCACCGAGGAGCTTGTGCTATGCACAGACGCTAGACTTGGTCTTCGAGAACCTGCAAACGGATATAAGTTTAAAATGTATCAAAACAATATGTTCACTCGAAACTCTGTAGTTCTCTAAGCAGCTTAGTTATTATCGAAGCAGAGGCAGAAGCAGACAGAGAGACAAATAGAGAGATAGTCAGCAATAAAGAGAGACAGACAGCATAAAGAGAGACAGAGATAGAGAGAGAGAGAGAGAGAGAGTGAGAGAGAGAGGCAAGGCATCTAATATGTCAAGAAGCTCTAGAAAGGTATCATAAAATATCTATATATCTTTAAAGCGTTGCATATGCATAAATTAAGCAGGCAATTGAAAAGCTAATATATTGAAGGTCTGCTGACTCTGATGAAGACACATCTGATTCTGACACATATTTAATATTCCATGGAAATTTGTCTGCAATTCAAAGTTGAGTTACAAATTTAGTTTTCGATATAGACGAAAATGGAATCAAAGAACCTGTGGATGTCTTTCAATTGCGGCAACAGCGAACAGAACACAGCCTAAGCCTAAGCATTACAGTGGTGGCAAAAAAAAGTATACCCTGCACATTCATAGTTTGCTATATGTTAGATATTAAGACAAAGTTGTATGTTAAAACTCGAATAAATGCTAGAAATGAGTTAAGTATATAAATAAGAGAAACTTTTGCTTTTTCTTAGGAACAAAATGCATTCAGTCTCATTCAGTTAGAAGCGACATAGACAGATTAGATTATCGAATAACAAATAAGATAAAACTTGGGATCGGTTGGTGTGCATTTAATCGATGGAGTGTTCCACACAGTCCACTCACAGGATGCATGCAATTTGGAATATTAAGTGTAAATATTTATATATGTGTGTTCATGTGTGTCTGTAAGTGTGTATGTCTGTGTGTGTGCGTGTAGATATCATAATAATTTGCGTTATTTTGTTTTAAAGAATTAGATAATGGTGTTATAAAAATTTCTGGAAACAGGAACATAGTCACCGCCATATTGCTTCGATATCATATTGTCAAGCTGCAGTTGTATATGGAGTATACATATATATCATTTGCGTTATTATTCAAGTTAGCTTCTGAAATATTTTCAATATTGTTTACAACTTCCGCCGGCTCAACTGCATTTGTGTTTTATTTCATTTTCTTTTAATTTTTAATATCTTGGACTTTTGCTTAGATATTTATGAACTAAACAAACTATCAAATGTTGGAGCTGGAATATATAATTTGATACGTTGTTGTCTTTGTTTTAAGCGCTTTTCTACAATTGTGTGTGTTTTATGTGTCTTTGTATGTTGTATTTATTATTTTATTTATTTTTAAATTTTTTGTAACTTAAACGAAAAGAAACCAAACAATCAACTTTGAAATTTGAAACAGAGATTTGGAAGCACATTTAACATCGATCATTTAGAACATAAGACCAAGAGTTAGAATTTTCGATGGGTTTTGTTTAACTATTTAAGGAATTACTGCAAGTAGATGATTTGAAATGAGCCAATGTACACATCAAATGAAGCCAATGATAAAATGAAGCTAAGGTCAATGTGGAAAAGCAACTGATCTTATAAGAGATATAATCTTAACTACAACAATTTTTATTGCAATCTTATTAAGCGAATACCAATTTACATAAACGAAGTTAAAGAAGCCTCGAAAATGATCTCCAAAGTGATCTGCTCGCACATTAAGTATACGTAAATATACATTTTTTTATTGCCTAGCTAAAATGGCTTTTATTCAATCATAATTTTTGTTAAATATATATTAATATTTGTAATTTTATATGAGCATTGAAAAAAAATACTTCAAAATAAATATTAAAATTAAAAAATAAATAATAATTTCTAG